ACAAATTACAGTTGAGTTTGTATTTTTAAAAACATGCCTCTAAACTGTATATCTTGTGCTAATACAGAGACACAAGACAGGGCTCTCATCCTGGTCTTGGCACTTGACCCGTGATTTTCAGGTGATTTAGGTTCACACCTGTAAAATGAGGAGAGTGGACTAAATTATGTGTAGGACCCATGCGAGCATAAAGATGCTCCCTTAGTTTCCCATTCTTTAATCATCTTGCTTATCTGCTTCAATAAAATATTTTCTTCTTTCAAGGACAATTTAGTAGTAAGATATGCTTTTCACTTTGGTTTAGTCGATGGGGAAAAGAAAGAACCTATTATAGTACACTCCAGATTCTGGTTGCCTCCTCCCATGCCCCTTCTCCCTTTGGCTCTTTTATTTTCTTATTAAATGTCATTTTCCTTATCTCTGATTTTTAAATATAATGTATCATAAAAGTTTCCTCATCTGTAAAATGGAAATAAAGGTACCTATCTATACAGCAATCTCACAAGTAGCTTGTGAGAATTAACGAAGTCAGCATATGTAAACACTTGGAACATTGCCTGGCCTATAAACATATAAGCACTCAAACATGTTATTTAATGTTCACCATAAAAATCAGAAAAGTCAGTAAAATACAAAAATAATAAAAATTATGTGTGATTTATGATCCTATCCATATGACTACTNGCTTTCATGAGCTGGCATGAGCAGCCATTTAAAGGCCGGCAGTTGACTGCCTCAGCTGGGAAGAGCGCAATGATAATACCAACATGGGCCAGTGAAACGAAGTCCTCCACAACTAGACTGAAGAACAAAAGGATAGCAACTTATCTGTTCCCCTTCCCCGATTCCCCAACGCTGTTCCCCTCCCCCAATTCCCCAATTTTAAAAACTCTTTAAAAAAAAAAGTAAATAGGCAAGCCAAAAAGACTGAGAGAAAATAGTCATGGAACATATATCTGACAAAGGACTTTTTTTACAATGTATAAAGAACTTTTACAACTCAGTAATTAAAACATTAAAAATGGGAGGAAAAAATCAGACACTTCACAAAGAAGAATATACAAATGGCCAATTAGCACGTGAAAGAGTGCTCAGCTTTATTTGTCATTAGGGAAATGCAAATTTAAAAAACCATAATGAGATTCCACTTAACACCCACTTGAATGGCTAAAATTGAAAAAGATTGGCACAACTGAAACTCCTATACATTATTGGTGGGAGTATAAAATGGTACAGCCGCTTTGCAGAACTGTTTGTTAGTTTCATAATAGTTAAATGTATACATCCTCTTTTTTTTTTAAGCTTTTATTGGGGAATTGGGGAAGGGGAACAGACACGTTGCTGTCCTTTTGTTCTTCATTCTAGTTGTGGAGGATGTCGTGCTTCACTGGCCCATGTTGATATTATCATTGCGCTCTTCCTGGGTGAGGCAGTCGCTCACCGGCCACTGTTTGGCACTCACGGTGGTTCACGGCAGCTCACGAAAGTGCACGCCCACTGCCGGCCAGCCCCATGGCAGCCTACACCGTCGACAGTGACTCACTGCAGCCAAGCTCCAGGTCAAGCTGTTGTTCAGCATCTTAGCTGTAGAGGGCGCAGCGGCACTGGCCCACATGTGGGATCTGAACCAGGGCCCTGCTGCTCAGAGCTGGCGTCCCAAGCCAATTCCTAACCAATGCGCCACTAGGCCGGCCCTATATATCCTCTTTAACCCAGAAACTACTCCTAGGTCTGAACACAAAATAAATGACCCATTAGCATGAAAAGATGTTGCACCTCACTAGTCATTAGGCAAATTAAAATTAAAACAACAATGATGTACGCATTCACTTTATATCCTTCAAAATGGCAAGGATTAAAAGTTGTTAATTGAAGTGGAGCAGTAGGAATTCTTAATGCGTGTTTTCAGGAGTATAAGTTGGTTTGACCACTTTGGAGAATGTGTAGTAAAGCTGAAGATATGTATACTCTCCATCCTACCAATTGCATTGCTAGTGATACATCCCAGAGAAGTATAGCACTGCTCTAGGAAGCACGTCTCATAATGTACACAGTAGCACAGTTTGCAGTTTAAAAAAAGGAAGCATCTTAAATGTTCATCCACAGAAAGATGGATGAATAAATGGTGGCTTATTCATAACAATACCAATACAGAGTTAAAATAAGTGAACTAGAGCTACATGGAGAAATCTCAAAGGAGGAAAAGGCAAGGTGCAAAATTATATAAATAGTCTGATACCATTTATGTGCATGTACTTATGAATAAATGCATTTGCAGTAAAAATGTAAAGTTATGCAGAAGATGGTGAACACCAATGATTGTTTCTAAGATAAAAGGATATAAAGTCTCATTTCTAAAAAAATACTAAAAATTATGGCAAGTAGGGCAAGTATTGAGATATAATAAATCTTGTTGGTGGATACATAATAGATTCTCTACACTTTTCTGAATGTCAAAATAGATCACAACCAGTGCAAAAATAAACGAAAACAAAATAACGGCTAACGAGGGAGAGGAGACAGTGAATGGGAGCCAGGTCTTTTGAAATTTGTTCCTTCAGATTCCTGTCACCCTTGGCTTCTGGGACTCCAAGCCTCTGTGACACACAGTGCTTAACCTCCTTTATACCATCCTTTTCCTATCAGCTACTCACATTTGGTTGGTGGGATTGATTGTCTCAGATGACATTCATTTGAACTCTAGCTTTGCTTCTGGCTGTGTGTACCTCTGGGCAAGGTAACTTTTCTTACTGTCTCCTTAACTATTAATAGTAACAGTGTGTTCTTCACTCATTTGTACAGCAAATCTGTATTGACTGCCTACTATGTGCTGTGGAATTATGTTAGGGACTGAGATATTACACTGATGAAAACATCTGCTTTAGAAGGTGACTGATTCTCAACCCTGATGCGCAGAATTCCCCATAAAGCCCGTAAAACAATTAATAACTGGCTCATCATGGGAAGTGCTAATTAACTAGGTCCACTGTTCAAGCACCAATTAATTAGGTCCAGTGTTCATGCCTGTTTCCATAACAACCTTTTCACAAATGATTCCTATATTCAGGAATGGTAGAGAATATTTACCTCAGAGTCTTATGTTTTATGGGAGGGAGAATTGTGGTTTTTTGTCCTCTACCATATCCCTAGAGCCTGGCCCATAGTAGGTGCTCAAAAAGATTTGTTGAATGAATAAATGGAAGAAAAAGACATTGTCACTGCCCTCTAAAGCTAACAGTCTCTCAAGGAGGGCAGACAGTTAAACATGTTACAGTGAGTATTAAATGAAATAAAAATAAAAATATAATAAAGTGGGTCATAGTATCAGCTGCACTGCCTGGTATATAGTGGCTACTTATCAGTGTTAGTTGAATATTTATGTAATAATTCCTAAATCCACATCTCTAGCTTTAATCATTGGCTTCTAGTCTTCAGAGGAAAATAAAATTAATATAATTTGTAAAACCACAATTTTCAGTTGCTTATAGAAATCTTATGGAGTTCCACCATCACCTCAAATTGGGCATTTCTAAACTTGAAAGCTTTTGTTTCCTCCCTCTTCACTCTAACTCTTTTCTAGCTATCCAATTTTTGTCACTGACACCATCTTTTCTTCCATTTGCCCAAGCTAGAAGCTTTGCAGTCACCTTTGAGTCTTTTTTCTGTACAGTGTTTTTGTTTTTTTTTTTNTAAAAAAAAAAAAAAAAAAAAAGAATGAGCGACGTCTACCATCTTTTTGCCTCAGCCCAATCTCTCAATTACTTGCACTTTTGTTTCCATGGTTATTGCTTTGTGCTTCCTAGCAGTCCCCTCCACATCACCACTGCTTTTCTTCTTGCTTCCGGACATCCTGGACTTTGAGCACTGTACTACTACTATACAGTATCGCACTGTACAGTAAGCACACAACAGCACAACTGTGACAATGTCCAGCAGACACGTGAGCTACTTACGCGATTTGTTTGCAACTTGAATGTTCGTAATGCAAGGTCCGTTCGTATCTGTGAAAGTTCGCAACCCGAATATTCATAAGTTGGGGACTTACTGTACTGCTTGAGCATAGGTAACATCTCATAAAACGTGTATGCATTTTTTGGGCACCTCCGGTATAAAAAATGAAAAAAGGAAAAACTACATAGAAAATGAGACTGGAAAGAAACCCATTTAAGTGGTTTTATTTTTCCTGTTTTCAAATTTTATTTAGTAAAAATGTTTATAACAAAGCAAATTGTATTTAAATTGTTTCTTTGAAGTGTCCATTTCAATATATATGATAAAGCACAAGATATTAAAAGACATGGGTTAGCATAAAATTTGTGAAGAATGCAATTGAGCGCAAGAACTAAAGAAAGACTTCAAATTATATTTTACAATTTTATAATTTGTGTTACATTTATTTTTCACTAGTGAAACAAGGTGTATCAGGAAGAATATAATTTTAATACCTTTGTTACTGTGTAGAAGAGTAATTTTTTAAAAATCTCAGATAAGTTTTCTAGTGGAACAAAATAATGTCCAAATCCCAAATATAATATCCCCATTTTGATGCATAACATCATGTTAGGTTGGGGAGGTATGATCAAGTACCTCTCTTGGACATACTTAGTAGCATTTTCTGATTACAGTGTACATGAGGCTATGTTGATGTTAACGTTGGTGATGTAGAATAAGCATTAAATGAAATTCAGCTGATTCATGATAGAAAGTCTCAGGAAACTAGGAATAGAAGGGAACTTCCTCAGCCTGTGAGAAAGCTATAGTTAACGTTATACTTAATGGTGAAAACTGAATGCGTTCCCCCTAAGATCAGAACAAGACATAAACGTCCACTGTCACAACCTCCATTCAACATTTATTGCAGTTCCTAACCAGTGCAACAAGGTAAGAAAAATAAAAGACAAAAATTATAAAGGTTGAAGTAAGACCTGTCTCTATTCTTAGATGATATGTTTGTTTACATAAAACTAGTAAGAATGAGTTTTAGTAAATTAATTATCAGGATGCAAGGTAAACTTAACAAAGTCCTATTTCTATATATTAACAGCAAACAATTGAAAATAATTAAAATTCCTTTTCTTTTTCAAAAAACATACTTAAGAATAGTTTAACAACAACAAATATATAAAAACCTTTGCACTGAAAACCACAATGTATTGCCAAGAGAAATTAAAACCAACACAAATTGATAGATATACTGTGTTCTTGGATTAGAAAGCAAAATATTAAGTGTTCAGTTCTCTTCCAGAATTATTATATTATAGATTCAAGGCATTTCTGACCAAACTCTCTTTAAAAAATAGAAACTGACAAGTTAATTCTAAAAATACAAAGGATCTAGAATAGCCAAAATAATCTTGAAAAAGACTACTGAAGCTGGAAGACTAACTTAAAGAGTTACCAAAATCATAGAGTAATCACAACAGTGTGATACTGGCCTAAGGATAGACAAGTAGATCAATAGAATAGAGAGTCCATAAATAATCCACACTTATAGAATCAATTGATTTTGATAAAGGCACCAAAGCAATCCAGTAGAGGAAGGAAAGTCTTTTTAACAAATGATGCTGTAACAACCGGGTATCATCATAGGAAAAAAAATGAACTGTAACCTCTACCTTACATCATAATTTGAGCTGGGTCATCGGCTGAAATGCAAAAGATAAAACTATAAAGCTTTTAGAAGAAAACAATATCTTCATGACCTGGAGATAGGCAAAAATTTCTTATAGGACAAAGAAAGCAGTTACAATAAAAGAAAAAGGAATGTTGATAAATTAGATTTCATAAAAATTTTAACTTTCTGTTTATTAGAAAAGATACCATTAAAAAAGGAAATAAGGGGC